CAATCTCGAGCCCAGAGTCTTCACGGCTAATGTCAGCGGTATGCTGACGCCGGAAAGACTCTGGAGGAATCGACTGGATTTGCGACGCTTTTCCGTCGCAAATTATGCAAATTAGGTCAGTTTTGTTTTTGCCGCTTTAGAGCATCAAAATGACAAAAAAGAAGAAGGTTTAGCACACAACTTAGTTTAGGAACAGTATTGACACCTTTTAAAAAACACAAATGTGTGAAAACATGTGTGGTTATGCGATAAAGGTATGATATTTTTGATCAAACAGGCGAGCGCGCGCTGGCGACTTGAAAAACCGACTTGAAAACAATGCGCGCTCGCGTCATTTTCAACCAATCACAAATCGAGAAAAAATTGTTTCCTCCAGAGTCTCTCACGCATTGACATCCGCTGGATGGCAAAAATGTGGGCTCTGGATACGAGATTGAGGAGGCTATAAAATGCAAAGCATTCTCCCGCTAACAGCGTTATCTGATGAGATCTTAAATTCAACCAAGAACATTTTAGTGATATCATAAAACACTGCACTGCATTTTGAATTTACAATGCGGCCTCAATCTTCCGTTAAATATAAACACTGTCAATTTGCTGACCAACACAGCGGTACATCGCTCTCTGTTGCACTCAATCAATGCAAATGACCAATGATATTTTTATATGTCTCTTTACATTAACTTTCGTGTTTTGAGAAAATTAATTTTTACGACTGAACAACAAAGAGATATTATCAACAAGCCGGGGTGGTATCGAGTACATTCGATGGGGCAAGACGTCATGTCCTTATGGTGCTGATTTGGTGTACAAGGGTAAGTGACTGACACCTGTCATTGCATGGAGGTATTCGTCCTCTTTCTTACCATGACGCATTGCAACAATGGAACAGAGTAAACACATTCAACCCACTCTCGAATACCGACATTCACGACCATGACGCCCCTTGTGTCGCCTGCTATGTGAAGACACGAAGCTCCAAACTGATGATCCCAGCAACCTACAAGTGCCCCTCAGGGTGGACCAGAGAGTATTATGGCTACCTGATGACGGAATATTATGGCCACAAGAATAACAGAGTTTATATCTGTGTAGACAAAGATGCCGAGTCTGTATCTGGAAGCAAACCAAGTCACAATGGAGCTCTTCTGTATCCTGTGTCTGGTCACTGTGGCTCCCTTCCTTGTCGCCCATACGTACAAGACCGAGAACTGACATGTGTCGTTTGTACCAAGTAGTTATTCGATCAGTTTCAGCTAATTTATTATGATATAAGTTTGTATAATTGCTCTTAATACTCGTGCAGTTCTGGACAAGCTAGGGCTCCCTGTATCTTATTTTGTGATAAAACTTTATAACTAAGAAAGAAAATAAACTGAATTAACTTTAAGGCTGAAAATA